CAGAGTCCGGAAATCTCACAAAATATGTACACTGTACCTGCCTAGCACATACTTTTGAGAAACTCCAGACATACTGTATCTGAAACATCTAGAAAACACTGGATGTACCAACTGTGCAGACACTTTCTGCAATGTAAAATACTTACTATATATGCACATGCACATACTATTTTTGCCTGGAAAACCACAGATGTTTCCATTTGTAAGAGATTATGCACAAAGCCACTGATGATGTGAACTGTTTTTTGCAAATAGCTTACATCAAAGCAGCAGGCATGTGTGCTCGCATGAGAGAAAAAAAACAAGGTCCCACATTCCCATAGCTGGCCTCAGTGGACTGTGAGAGCTCACCAATTTCCACAGAGGAGGCTGAGCTGCAAAGTACTGGAGAATTACCAAAAAAAGCAATTGCTACCTCTGCAAGTTGGATGGAAAATGACTTGTCCAGGCTTCAGTGGCTTCGGTGGTAGAAGACACTCTTTAGTGATGTTTGCTATGTTCTGTTTTTCTGGTTCTTCCATTCTTGTCATCCCAGTGACCATATGAACTTAACCTTAGAAACTGTGTGTCTTGAAATAAAAGAATCAACAGTCCTTCTCATGTCCCTTGTTGCATTTCTTCTCACCTCCCCTAGTATAGGACTCTGTTATTTACAAAGGAGTGAGAACTTGCAGCTCCTTCCTTGCTGCAGGGGTTAAGTAGGCCATCGTCATTTTGTTTTCTTAGAAAATTATAAAAGAAAAGGAAAAATCTTTGCTCATTTTTAACTATAAACTCCTGTCATGGAACAGTTAATATTTTATTCCAATCTGATGCAGTGCTGAAGTTATGGAAAAATTGCTTGAAGGGTTTTTTCTTTCCTCCCAGCAAAACTTGGTTTTAGAAGAATAATTACTCAATTCAAAAATAAAACAAAAAAAAGTTTACTAAATTGAATAATTCTTCCCCAGACATTTTTTCCTTCTCATGATTATTTTTTAACTAGTCTAGATAATGATATTATTAGCTAATTAGTGATAAATGTCAGTAATTTTATTTTACTGAGTCCATTTGAAGTCATGTGTGTATTTATGCAAAATGCAGATTGACTAAGGAGCTATGAAACTTGCTTCTGCCTCAGAAATTCTACACTGAACCAATGCAGTACATAGAACCAGTTTCCACAGGCAGAGATGGGACTTAATGGATGCATGGCAGCTGAGTCGTTTTCCTGGGGAGAAGTGAATTTTCTCCTACTTAAGACCGGTTCCTGAAGGTTCTTGGCACATGGAAGAAGAACTTTTATCTCAGTTCCACCACTAGTCAAGGTTCATCTGCTGCTTCAGCAAGGAGCTTGAACATTAAGTTAGTTATGCATTGCTAGTTCCAGATGTTTCATATAGAAGAAAAAGTGAAGCCAGGGCTCCACTTCACATCTGCCAGTGGAGCTGGCCAGGTATGGCAGAAGCGCATTCTTTAAAGTAATGGTAGATATCATAAAAACAAAAATAGCCCCCACAAACAACACAAAAAAGTCCTCCCTTGGTCATAGTCCTTCAGGAACTCTGGCTTACCTTCTTTGACTTATTTTCAATGCAAAAAGCTCCCATATATGCCAACCTTAACCTAGCCTGCAAGGTATTATTGCTCTATTTCAAGTTTTTTTTGAGAACACCCGTGGAAGGAGAAAGCATTTACTGAACCTCCTGGTGCTGACAGTAGAGAAGAGAAAGCATACCTGAGTTTGTAGTTCCAAAACGCAAAGTCTTGGTCCTAAGACATGTGTGCCAATATATTGCTTATCAAAGTAAAACATTTTTTTTCTCCTTGCATAAGTTTTTTGGTTTTGTTTCCTGTTTGTTTCTACAGAGGAAACACCACTGGAAATACACCATCTTCTTCAGTACCTGTATACAGCACATAAGAACACTGAGATACCAATGATTTTTAGGGTTTTTTTTTTGTTTTTTTTTTTTAACAGTGGCATAATGTACATAGACACGTGATCACCATTCAGCTCATTTGGGGGGAACTCAGCAATCCTTCCCCTGCTGCATGCTAGGATGCACCCGTAGGAGAAATCTCTCAGCAAGCACCCTTAGGAGAAATCTATAATGCAAAATACTCCAGTAACAAAATAAAACAGTTTTTCACTCTCTGTCTTGTCAGGTTCTTGTTTTTGTTGCTACTGTTGCATTAGCAGGAAATCTGTGCATATGCCAGCTTGAAAGACTGAGAAGAGACCTATCATGGATGGCTCTGGATAGCCATATGCAACTCGAGAGCAACTGTCTCCCACCTTCAGCCCAAAGGGAGAACACAGGGAATATATTAACCGTCAGTAACCTTTAAAGGGCTCTGCATTTATAATCAGAGTAGCCTGTAACATATTGGGGAGTGTGTATGTATGTGTACAATGCCCATATTATTTTGGTGCATAACTAGACTATAATAAAATAAAATATTTATAGGAAATAAATGAAGGGATATTTCCTGAGCAGCAATTTTTAAAACTGTCACTAACCATTGTAAATGCTTAGTGCTTCCTTCCAGAAATAAATTGAACCATATTAACCATGTATATCATGGTTTGAGTCATCAGACTCTAAACCACAGATTTTCCAGAAGCTGAGAGAATATACCACATAAACAATGTCTGCATATTTGCCTTGTTGCTACTTTTTTTTCCCCTAAGTATTTTGTCTTTGACCGCTGTCATCAACAGAACATTAGGCTAGATGGACCTTTGATCTGACCCTGCAAGGCAGATCCTATCATCCTGAGTTATTATTACTGACACTGATTTACAGTGTTCTTGCTTTTATTATTTCATTAAAACTGCCATCCCCAGGCACTATGCAAACGTACAGCCACGGTTCTAGTGAATTTATACGCTCTGTGGAAGCATCGAGAACACAGTTAATACAACACCAGCAAACTTTTTCCTCCCTTTGGTCGTTCGATTGCTGCTGCTGAGACACAGAGGCCTGGCTCCTACACTTCAGGGGAGCTGTACTTACACATGCCACCTGAGGATCATCAGGGCAAGTGAAGGTGTAACGGGACTTGTGTGGACCGATGTAGCTGAGTTTTTTGTATACGGCCCAGTTTCACCCTGGCTAACCTGGGGTGCTCACCTGAGTCACACAATTTAGGTGACTACTCACCTGACCTTGCTCTACAGGCAGGTGGGGACAGGTCAGGAGCTAGTGAGTTCTCAGGGACAGTGGGAAGCATTTCTTTTCGGATCAATTATAGGGGAATTTAGAATCATTACATTCCTAATCTAGATGCCTCAGTCATTAGTTAGTGGGAGGAGACGGGGAGTCTTTAACAGACCAGAGGCTGTGATACGAATTTATAGAATGGAAGCAGCTAACACAGGAATATAATATTGGAGCAGAACTATAATAACATAAGAATTAATCACACTTTTAATTCTATTTGAAGGGACAAAACTGATGCATTCTCCAAACTAAAAATAAGCTTTGCAAAAAATGAAGATTTTTTAGTTTGGGGCTTTTTGTGTTCTTCACACTTACAAATCTACATTTTACTGATTTTTTTTAAGATATAATAATGATAATAATGAAATAAAATATAGAACTCTTGTTGGGTTTTGCTTTCATGACAAATAGGCACTGACAAATCCATGCCACATTACCATCCTTGATTGCTCTGATGGAACTCATTTTCATCTCCTGTTCCTCTAATTACATGAAAATTGCATACTTTTTATGCATGACACATTTTCTGCAGCTTTAGAAAAAGGTTGTGAAGGGAAAAAAAAAAAAAAACATTTATCAGTTTCTTTCTCCTACTCATAACGGCTATATATCATCTACCCAGTGATCAATCCAGCTTTAAGTGTCGGTTTTCTGTGCTATTGTTGTAACCAGAAAAGGAAGTGAATGAAAAAATATGTTTTTAGGTGTGTTTTTTTTTCCCCCTTATCTCTTAAGAATAGAGATTTAGAATGGTTTTGCCACCGGTCCTTTATTCTCTTCTTAGCCCTACCTTCCATAATTTCAGATTCCAAAGCATGGATGAATGATACAACACAGGACTAAGTGGAAAAGACTAACTTTGAACAATAGCACCTCTTAAGCTATTCCCCATTCCTCAGTTTCATTGAAGATTTATTTTAACAGCCAGATGAGAAGTGGAAATCACAGTCATTGTCACAGAGGCATTACAAAATACATGGAGAGTACTAATAAATTACTAGTACAAGGATAAATCAGATGTCGCATGCATGTTTTTCAGGTTTTTTGCTTGCTTGTTTGTTTTTTCTTTCATGATAGAAAATGGTTGTGAGGAGGAAAGAAAAGCTGATATCGTTTATAGTCTGTATTTAACTGTAATGGTTTTGTACCTGGTGGGTATAGTCTCGTCTTTCTAGGCTAATGGCAAGTGATGCGGGTATTTTTCTCCTGACAATAGCACTGATGACAAACTGTATTCAGGGCATAAAGACCTCTATCCAGATGGTCAATGCAAGCTCCAGCCACCTGTAAGTTACTCATGAGGTTTGCTGAAAATCCTCATAGAGCTTCAGCAGTGTTTAGCCTCTGAGCCTCGAATATAAATATGTTTCAGAGTTTTTAGTTTTATCTCTAAGTAACTCATTATTCATGCTAATACTTTTAAGTCAGAAATTTGTATTAGCAGGGAAAATTTACGCCCTTTAATTAAGCACATGTTTATTCCCCTTTCTGAAACGGAGAGTGATTGGGACCCTGGATATGCCAAATCCACTCAGTCCAGTCATAGGTTAAAGCCGAGAATTTCACGGGGAGATCCAGGAAAAATAGGCACCAGGCACTAAAAAGTAAGTACTGAAACTCCTATTTTTCTTCCCCTACCCTAAAGCTGATTCTGTTCTCAAGTCAACTGCAGAAACAAAAGCTTTGCAGCCGGAGTGAAGTAAAGCTGTGTGATTTGCCCTGACACCAGTGCTGGCAGACAGTGAAAGGACACGGATTTGTCCGAACACTGTGGTGTGCCTAGTAACTGCCCAGCAACAGTACTTAGACAAGACTCCCTTGTGCTGGGGAATACCTGACTTAGAAAACCTGTGGTGCTCATCCAAGCTCAGCATTCAAGTAAGTACAAGTGCTATAAAATTTAGAAATGAAGCACATTGCTGTAGATTTTTGAAGAGTTAAACTAAAAAGATGATGGTGATGAAACGAGGATCTGAATGTAAGAGTTTCTTGCAGTGTTCATAACACGATAGCGAGTCAGAAAATGGAGCTGGCAAGAAACGTACTGAAGAAGGAACGCTGTGATCTCATTACAGCCTGATCTGCCTGTAGTTCATTTCCAACAGAAAACATGCACAAATAAATAAAGCACCAAGCTGTCTGCCTTAAATATCCATTTACATTACTGCTAGACTTCTTTCCCCTTTCCTCAGATTTGTTTATTACACCTGCTAGTTACATCATCTATTAAATTAACCCCCAGTCTAGTTCTTAAAAATCTGTGTAACCTTCAGTAAAGTTATCGCAGATGATAAAGGCGTCACAGACAACAAATCCAACTCCACTTCAGTCCCTGCAATGCTTTTATCTTTGTAATTTGTTCTCGTGCTGGGGCTGAATAAAAAAAGAGCTTTACTAATCACCTGAGAAAAGTTAGGCACATTGCATGTTTGCAAAATTGGAGACTAAATTTTGTAAACTCTTCAGAAAAGGGATTGTCTCTAGGCAGGAATGAAACTTTCAGTGAAGTTAGTAGAATATTATAGTCATTTTACTGGAGTAAAGATTTAATTCTGTGTTTTGCGTCTTCCATAATGTGTAGTTGATTGGGGCCCCTACGCACTGTTGCAAAACTGCCGATTAATAATAATGCACTTGGGTTTTCTGTTTGTCCTTTTTTTTTTTTCTGAGACTATGAAATGGAAACGTTCAATTATTAACCTCTATTGTATTTTTCAGTAGAAGTCTACATCTTCTAGTTGTTTTTAATAATGGCAATAAAAGAATTAACTGCAAATTAACTATAAAAATATAAAATTTTCTTTGAGGAATATTTCAGTGAAAAACAGGTCCTCCTTAAAGTTGTTGCTGGGTCTGTGGTCCTTTTTATGCCAGGACATATAGATGACCACCAAGTATTTACAAAAATGCTCAGTGACCGCAAAGTTTAATGAATTAGATATAGATGTATGCACATTTGAAAATTCATACCCGAAATGTCTGATACAAGAACTTTTAGTTATTTATCTCTGAAAACAATAAACAGATAAAATCTTTCAGTGAGAGTAGTAAGATGTGGCTTTGTGGATGAAGACTATGGCAGTAAAATGCTGCATTTCCCAATGTTATTTCTGTTCCCGGCACTAATAAAAATTCATTTGACCTCTGGTGACTTCCGCTGAGTTTCTGTGCCTTAGTATCTCCGTCATGAAACCAAGTTAAAAATGCTTGGTGAATGGACATGCTAATGATTATTACTGCAATGAGCAATGAACCCGATTATTTCCAGAGTGTTATATAAAGGATTTTTTTTTCATAAACTTTTTGAGAGACTTAAATAACACACGATTACTTGCTGTATTAGGCATGAGAGACAATACCTTTTAACCCTTTGTGGCAAATACCACACCCTCTGCCCTGAGCATGTCGATCCTGCATTGTAAACACCTCTAATCCAGAAACATCCTTTGAGCTTACACTATTTTTTAGTTTTTGAGTAAAGGGGGAGGGGGGATAGTTACTTGCATGTTGAAGAAAATGGAAAGCATGATGAGCTGAGTTAGGCGCTTATCACTTGGCTAAGTTGGAAGAAAACATACAATTGTGCAATTAAAGAGACTTAGTAAGAGATTCATAGGGGGATATTTAGGAATGATAGGATGAAATCAAGGAAACAAAATTGTGTAAGAATATTAGAGCACACACCTTACTGTGAGATGTATTAGATTATGGTAATATTTATTGCTGGAATGGATAGACCTCTGGGTCCACCGAGCAATGAATAATGAGGTTTATACTGAGGCCAAAAAAGAAGAATGAGCAAGATGACCTGAGAGCTGTCTTCTGCTTCCCCATCTGTACAGTCTCTGTGGCAAACAATGAGGTCCTGCAAGGGCCAGGTATGTGCAGAGGAAAGCCTACTAATATTTTATATTACAAAAGGTTTAGGGAACTGCAGAGGCATGGCCAGTGGATGAGAAAACCAAAATGAATAGTGGAACATAACTTGAAGCAGACATATACTTCAAAGCAGCCATGTAGTTAGTATGCAAAGACAGGATGACTGAAAGTCACAGATCTTCTGCACCTCCCTGACTCAAAGGAGTGAAGGCTGTTCCCCTTACCTCTGTCTAATTCTGCAACATCACTTTTTTACTCAAATTTTCGTAGCAATTGATTAATTACTTATTTATCAAGAGGTCAATATTTGAAGTTTATAAAAAAAAACTACTACCAGTTCTAGGGAAAACTGAATTATATGCCTTCTACTGAGGAAATTGAATGGAAAGATAACTCAGAAGATATCATTGAGGCTGATAGCTTTATTCATCATCTTCATCATTATAATATTAAAGCTAATAAAATAATAAAACAATACTGAATTAGTTTTTCATTGTGTTTTACAGTAATGTGGAAGTAGAAGAGCCTTAGATGGTCTTCCTTTTTAGACACACAAAATTCAATTTCAAGCAGCGACAGGGATCAGCTTCTGTCTGAGACAAGGCCAACATAAATTCATAGCAATGAGGTGTGACTGTACAGGATGGGATATCCACAGGTGTGGGCTATGTCTTTTGTAAGGCAACCCTGTTCAAGTAGAATTGTTTTGCACAATTGTATAGAGAATCGCTGAATAGCTTTTTCAGAACGAAGAATTTAAGACACAATGTCAATAGAAGACGACTGCCCGATTTATGGTTTACATAAATTTTGGCCTTCGTTGAGGGCAATAGCAGAAGGCGGCACATCAAACCTTGAGAGATCATCCTGTTAGAGAAGTTAAAGACTAAGGGTAACATTTCTAAATCTGGGAGCATAAGTCAAAGAAAGACCCACATTAAAAATTAACTGCCTAACTTGAGAGGCTGAAAATCTGTTTCTCCTTTACTTGGTGAGATGGCCGAGCTTTGCTGCCACCTTGTTTTATTAACAATAAGTGAGGTGGCAGGCAGGCCTGCAGGTAGGTAGGAGATCTGTGTTAACTATGGTAAGAATGCAGTTTCTCGTGCTCAGGATACATGCTTTTTATTATTACAGCCTACCTCATTGTGTTTTCCTGAAACTCTGATGTGAAACAAAATTAAGGTGCTCCTGTAACTGATATCTTTTTTCCTGGAGCCAGTCATCATGTTTTAGTCAGCATTACAGCCAATAAGGTCATGAGCATGTAATTATAGCCTACTTGGTTAAGAAACATCTATATTATGGTTTGGGGTGCCTCATTAGAAACAACCTTTAGAAAAATGGACATGCTATTAGAAATGTAGCTCTGAGTATCTTCTCACTCGGGAAGGTCAGTAATAAAACTGAGATAGTCATAAAGCCCAGCCCTGCCTGCGGATTAATAGACAATCAATACATTAGCAGACTCTTAGTTACTCCAAAAGTTTTTTTACTGTTTTTGCCTCATCAAAAATATAGTGCTCTTAGTCCAATACATACAGTATCATCAAATTAAAATGACTCATTATTTATTTGTCTTTGCTGATTATAAAAACCTATAATGAGGGTTCTGTTTGTTTGTTTTGTTTTCAGAACGGTTTTGGACTGAGGTGGATGCATATTAAAAAGCTAACACTAGGTAAATAAAGTATTGTTCAATTTGCAGGGATATCAAAGAATGAGAAGTAATGTCTCAGCCCTAGCTGAGCTCACCAGCGCTAAAGTGAAGTCACTTGTCCTAAAGGCCCATATCGCTGAAAGACTACTTAAGGTATTATTTATTTTTGGTTATATATTTTACGCTTACAGCATTGGCAGTAAATAAACACACTGAAGAAGAAAACACTACTTAACGACGAGTAGATGAGATTGAATGTGACTGTTTCAGACCTGTACAAGAGGCACTGGCCCATTAAATGAATGTGTAGAGCTACTTCTTAATGTGTTAGGCAAGTAATCAATTTCTGAAAATACCAAATAATTTAAAAATAGCCCTGTCTGACCTGAACCAGTACTGGCATCAGACCAGGCATTTCTCAGGTACCTGCTTCTTCCCTTAATCAATCAGTTCTGACATTTTTCCTTTTTTCTTTCTTCTTTTTCTTCTTTTTTTTGACCTCCCTTGGTAGAATTAAGTGGTCAGCCAACGTCCATAGATAAACTTTTTAAGCTTGTTTTAATTTTCCATTAGCTTTGTGGCCCATCAACATGTTGGAGTGATTGTAAAGGGAGAATCAATACAGCAGGTAGAGTAAGAGACTGGAAGCTAGGACCCTGGGCAGCTGTGTGTGGCTTTGGCATTGCTTTGCTGTGCAGCCTTGAGCAAGCCACTTAACCTTTTGGTGTCTGAGTTTATTTTATCTATAAGCAAATATAGGAGTATTTGCATACTGCACAAGGGTCTTGAGAAATATAATTTGTAAACTTTAGGCTGTCCATACCCATTCCTGCCTAGTCCAATTCATAGTTCCCTTACAGGAGTCAAGTAAGAATCTGAGGTCACTTTAGAAGATATTAGTTTTAATATTTGTTATCTGCTCTGAGATTTTTGAATAAAACAGGTTTTGTCAAGACCAAGTGCTGAATCCAGAAGAGAAAGACCGAGATCTTGTTCTTCTGTTACAAAGGGGTCAACACTGAATTAAAAAGAAGATAAAATTGTAAGGAATGGTGGAAAGGATAGATGTATACTTTTTGCTTTATGTTTGTTTATACGGCAGAATAAATGGTCACTGAAATTTCCTAAGACAAGATTTTAAACAACTGCAAAATAAAAGTAGATATGTATATGCACACTAGCAATATCCCTTGTTAACAACACATGGGCAAGGGAGCACGTGTCAAGAGCAAATACCGGTATGGAGGGATGATAGGTCTTATCCAATGTAATAATCACTGTGCTAGTAGCAGGTATAAATCTATGCTTACATCGAAAATGCAGATTAGCCACATCATGTTCAACCTGAACTGTGTGCTGAACTGCATGCTAGGAGGGATTTCTTTGCACCATTTCTTTAGACATCTATGCATCTCACTAGAGCATCTTTGACGTTTTATCTGGGACTGAGCAGATGGGGTCAGAGAAAGTCCGCTGACAACTGTGTCTGCCTCTGTAAGCTTTAGGTGTTTTCCCTTTGGTGTTTCAGATACATAGCCCTGGTTTAGCAGGTGTCTGAGGAAAGCTCTCTCTGCCCTCTGAATCTGAAGCAAGGAAAGTAACAAGTCTTTTCACCATTCACTTCTCTAAGAGAAAGAATAAATCACTTGTTTCTGTTTAAAAGTGCTAAGGTCAAAAGACAGTAAGATTTTATTCTGAGAAAGGAGTGTAGGACCTCATTCACAGAAAGATGACAGCTAGAAAACTGAAACTTAAGGGAAGTTTTCTTAAAGGGTGTAACTATAAATTCATGTTAGTTCAGACTCAAGATTGTACTAAAGCCCAGACTCTCCAGTTGTGAAATAGCCCATTTTTGGGCTTCTGTTCTAGCTTGGAAACACCTGGAAGAGCCTGATGGCTTATATCTGGCAGGAAAACATAAGCAGAAGACAAAGAGCAGCTCTAATATGAAAATTTTCTGTACAAATGCTGTAGGCCCACCTGACTGAAACTGTATGGAGAGGGAACTCTGAGCCTACACACAGCTACTGCTAACACTGACTCTGATATGTGACCAAAGAGGCCACACGTGGACTAGGACTGAGGAACTGTGACTATAACAATTCTTCAGTGGCTTATGATTGCCAGGTGCTTCCCTGTTAGGTCAGATGAGCTGTCTTTGATATCAGAGTGACTTTATTGAGAGGATAAACTTTTTTTTTCTTTTTCTAGCAATTTCTTTCAGCTTTTTGTCTATGGCTGCCCAATACTTCCATTTCTAAGGGAGTTGAGAGTTTGTGCTCTGCCATATCCATTATTTTTCACTTTGTTGGTTGCTAAGCAGTCCCTTGTTGCTAAGTAGGGTATGAGCACTTAATTTACTACATTCTTTTTTCTCGTACCAGATTTTAGAAATTGCAGATCCTGTTTAATCAATGTGTAAATGCATGCTTTTGATGTATTTTTCCTAAGAGCAATATTTTGATCATTCTTAATGATACTTAATGAAGTCACCGCATGATTTCTGATTGTACCTAATTGAAGCTTGTGACTTGCATTTCAATGCTATCATCTTACAGTTTTATGTCTATCAGATGAAACTTTACAAGGACCTAAATAAATTAAGAAATATACAGAATTGATGCATTTCTTGGAACAAAGTTGCTTGGAAAAATATATATAATTTTTCAAATTAATTGTAAGGTAAAGTTATCTCTTATATGGTGCAAATCTGAGGTAGAAGACACAGAAGAAATTGAGGTGATAAGAAGACTGGTTCATTATTATGTAGTAGTGGATTATGTGAAATGAACTAAAACTGTCAGAGCAATTCCTTATGAATAGATACCCACATAAAGCCATCAGAACAATTAATTAATTAGAATTTTGATCAATAACTCTTTCTTTAATGCTGAGAATAGGTTGGCATTGCACAGGCACAAAGGTGAAGACAGACCTTGCCCTAAACCCCTTGTAAACTAAAAGACAGATCCTGTAAATGCTTACTCTTTAAAAAGTACTCACACGCTCTGGGTATAGTCACTAGGTCTATTCATCTGATGGGATTTTCAGGATCTTCCTAATTTAGTGAGTTATGTGACTGATTTAACACTGCTGGAAGGCCAAAAATACCACTATTGGTTTAATTGAGAAAATAAAAAACGTATAAAAAGCCTTGCAGAAATTAGAAGACTGATATTTATCAGCAGAGCAAGATTCTCAAAGTGCCTCAGAGTGGCAGCGCCAATCAAAAAAGGACTGCCGTTAATCATGGTCCAATTATATAACTAATTGTCACTTTCAAAAATTTATTCCAGATGGTATATGGATTACCTTGAACTTCTCTAATTTATATGCATATCTTTGAACAGCCCACATGAGATCATTCATACATTCTACAGATACAGATACAGATACTGGCTCTGGTAAGAACACACATTTTGATGCCTGCAAGATCTCTATTGCATCAGTCACTAAATGTTCCTCTGCAAAAGTCCAGTGGCAGAACTTCTCCTAACCTCTGTATCATCCATATGCCTACATACATATATGTTATTGTTATTGTTTAATATTTATTGCTTTTGCTATTTCTGTTTCCATGTGATTATTTTTTTCCTCCTAGGATGAAGTAGAATAATTATTTAAGTAGCAGAGGTGGTTTACCTGGATTAAACAAACAGTAAGACAGGGAATGTGTTTAACATGAGAAAGCAAAAAACCCACAAAAATACCTCGAAAAAATAATTAGTGCAATTGTAAATGCTAATATGTCAGCATATGTTTTGCATGTTTTAATGTATAGCCTTTATCAATGGGGTTTAAAGGCTACTCAAGACAGCCTTGAAGAATAAATAAAATGTCCTAGGTAAAGAAAAGTATTGTAAGACTTTTTAATGAAGGTGCCGTCTGCTCTATAAGAGAAAGTGGTAAAAAGAGAGCAGTTAAATGTATGGATGCTCTTAAATCCTGTAAGTGACTTCTGACTCACAGTACAAGTCAATGGACTTGCAAAGTTGCTTATGATCGAGCCGTGTGGCAAACCTCAGCATTGAATAACACCTCATTTTATGTGTTCTCTTGGCAAAATGAGACAGAACTGTTAGTCAGGTTCTGAGACGGCTGATGGAAGGCATGGAGAGAGACAACTCTCTCAACAAGAATGTGATTTTCAAAATCCGTCAAGTCAAGTTGCTGCTACTAACTCTGTGGTCAGAGCATGCTTGTGGGTCAGCTGCCCAGACTAAATTTCCTCTGGTCTGTGAGCTAGCTTGCACTTCTATCTCATGTTTCTTTAAAAAGACCACAAGATAAATCACAAGACTAGCCTAGGACAGCCATTCCTCAGTTTCTCAGGCTGAAGCTCCTTTGTATTCAATGAAGCAGAAACTGGAAGCTTACTGCAAGAAATATCTAGATCTTTCTCACTGCTGTTCAATTTCTAATGAATTTTATTTTTTTCCTGAGAAGGAGGAACAGAATCAACAGGAAGAACTAGGAGAGATCAACCTGTATGCTAACCTGATCAACCTATATGCTAACCTAAGAAAATATGCTCCCCTAGAAAATAGTTTAAAATAACATGAAAACACAAAAGTGGAATGGACTTTCTAGCCCATCCAGCCCCATCTCTGCCACGATAGACACAATGGCATGCAACCACTATCATAAACTTAGAGCAATCATTTTAAAAGTAGTTACTATTTTTCACCTACTGTTATTAAAGGAATGATTTTCCAGAAAGGTTTCTAGATCCCAGTGGATAAAAGTCTATTACTGGACTAAATATAATTTATTCATAGTCATTTATGCCCATCTATTCTGTGTTACAGTAACTTTAACTCAAGTAGCTGTTTTCCTCCCTGATATTCCCTTCTTCCTCTCTCTGCAGGTCATAGAGACAGCAATCAAAGTTTGCATCAACTTTAATTCTGCTTGTTTCAACAATTTTTATTTTTTTTTCAGTCTTTTCTTGCAGGAGGGATGCTCCTTTTTTCTTCCGACCATTCTAGTAATCATTCAAGCTTCTTGGAGAAATAGGATCAAATGACATTTAAATTAATGGCACACACTTTGAACAGTAACATTTGGATGTGAATGGGGTTTTATTTAAGCTCTGAGGACTTAGTTCTATTTGTGCACATGCAAAGTAGTATTACTGGACTCAGCTGAGTTATTTCAGATTCACACAGTGCACTTGAGAAAATGACTAGTTGTAGGCAGTATCCCCGTCCTGGCCAAAGAGTGTTTTCCCATCTCTAATGCTAGTTCTAAAACATTAATACATCCTACCCCCACACTCTGCATTATAATCAAAAAGAGAAAAACAATTAAAGATTGGGTTCCTGTTATCACTATAATTCCAAACATTTTCAAATTACTGCCTAATCAGCTCACTTCTTGTCTCAGATTGTCAAACTCCAAAGCAAGTTATTACTCTTCCTTACAATACTAATGTTTCTTTCCAGATATACAGCATCAGCAAAAGCCTTGGATGATGTGAATCATTTGTTCTAAGATACGTATGGGCAGAATGTGAATAGAAGACTAAAGGGCTTTTATGCTGCCCATCAGAAAATCAAATGATGTCCAGAAAAGGGAATGAGTGAAAAACAGAAGGAAATGCATTATCTACAACACAAGCCAATGTACATTTTGCTCTATGAATCCATCAGCCAAAGTTCAGAGGGCTTTTAGATGGGAAAGCAAGAATTAACAAAGAGAGCAGAAAGACTATTTCATGCACGAACCTGATAATCTTTCCACCTTCTTTTATTTCAGCAG